TCGACACTTCCTTTGGCTTTTTTTTTCCTGCGTCAAGTGGCATCAGAGCAGGTTTTCCACTGTAGTTGAAGACTATGGCTGTGATTTACAATCTGTTTGAAGAGCACATTGTCGAAGAAATCAGTTTTGTAAATTGGAAGTCCCCACCAATTTACGATGAGTATGTTGATGATGACGACAACCTCAAATAGAACTCTTTCGATCGGTTTTCTCTACTAATTTATGGCGAGCGAGATGAGGATTACAAGGTTATGTTTACGCTGGTTAATCACCAGTGTTGTTTGCAACTTGGAGTCAATGCCAATCCTGCCCCAAATTTTTATGAATACTGAGACAGTAACAAAGGAATGAGTTCATCTGTGAAAGAACGATACGTGCATCATCATAAAGAGGTAATATTTGACCTTGATACCCATTATATATGTGACTACATTTGGGAATCCTTTATTGCTTTCCACACTAGGAAAATATACTTGGAGCAAAGTATTTTTCCAAGTCATCAATATCAAAAGGAAATTTGGAAGATTGATGAACATTTTTCAAAAGAAATTGTACTTCAAAAACCTATTATTGTTGTAAGGTCAAATTTTCCGTAGTCCTTGCTGTACGTGGTAGTGCATTTTTAATGTCACCTTAGTGGTGTAAAAATTGTTATGTAAAGCCATTGTAGGCTAGCTGTCCTTGTTAGCGATATTGAGATCCAAACACCATCCATTGCTCTTCAATTAAAAAGGCACGCGTGAATCTCATGTAGGAAGGTTATATATATTCATCTTTTAAAATTGAAAATTTAGGTGAGGCTTCTTTGTTGATTGTTTTGACTTGTTGGACCGGCCTCCTTACATTAGTGTAGAATATTACTTGTACTCAATTAAAAAAAATTGTTTTTCTGTAATTTAATTTTATGCAATGCCCTTGTTCCTCAATTCCAACGTTGTTTACGCTCAATGTTTGTCTCTAAACACCCTTTAATTTTATTCAGTATATAAGATTAATTTCTTGTAGACCCAGATTGGGCACCCACTACAATACTGAAACAAAGAAACGTGTTCATCACATACTCATTTTCGCAGTACATTCAATTACCCCTTCTCTATTTCGTTTGTTCTTACAAGTTTTGATTTTATTCTTCAACTAACATGCACTCATATGTTTACCCTTGTTGGGGCTTAAAAAGACTTCACTACTTCGGAGTTGTTTATCTCACAAAGAAGAATGTAACGCAGTGGAATTTGATAGGCAAGAGAAAGAAAAAACACTCAAAGTATTACACAAAATTTTTATTCTCACACAAACTTAGTACAAGAAGAAACACTCACTCTTAGAAGCTTTGTTACTTCTTTTCACTTCTTACTTGCCAGTCTTACTTCTCACTACTTGCTCTCTTGGTTGTTATATCACATAGCTTAGCTCCTCACCTATTTATAGGCAAGGTTTGCCAACTTTGGCATTGCTAGAACTTTCTAGCTAATGCTTAACAACCACACATTTTTACAAGATTCTAGATCTTTCTACAAAAAGCCTTAGATATTTATGCATGCATTCCACCAACTTGAACCTTGCTAGAATCTCTAGTATGTGCATAAGGGCCGGATCAATTAGCTTGGACCAAGACAAAATTACAATTCAACATATCCAAACTCCTTGAAATTTGATGATAAGTTCATTGGGAGGATATAAATATTTGCAGAGTGGCGATGATCCTTTTGACTGGGATTTTGCAGAATATCTCAACTATTATGTGGTGTGGCAGTTGGAAGATGAAAGGCAATATCATGCTCTATTTCTTTGTCATCTTCTTGTTTAGGAGGTCTATCGTTAATGGTCTCGTGTCGAGTTCAGGAAAAGAATGAATGAGTTCACAAGGATGAAGTAATGAGATTGAAAGGAGGCATATTAACACCAAGGATGGACTGCAACTAACTGGGAAAAAGTAACGTTCCGATCTCAAAACCGTCATCGTTTAGACCAAATCCAGCAGCATAGTCTTGGCACTGAAAAGACAATCTACCTAAACAGGTTAAACGTAAAAATATATTTCCGTATCATTTTGCTACCAGAAAACACAACTGCAACTTAAGTATAATCAAAGCCTCTAATTACTTCAAATAATCCAAATCACAAGCGGCACTCTGCTTCTGGAGATTTCGGGACTCAAAATAATTCCACGAACAAAAAAATGATGGAAATAAAGCAACGTTCATTCCGTAAGATACAATTTATATGCAACAAGTCTACGGTGCTAACTGTGACATAAATTATTCTCCTTTCAACTTATACGATTAGTATTGGTAGTGGAAAATTGAAAATGATGATATTTCCAAAGAACCGGAAAATGCAAAATCATGAAACTGAGTAAGCTTTTCATCATTTAGACATAAAGTACATTTGAATTCCCATATCTTGTATCTTACGACATACAACAAACAATAACAACCAAGCGTTATCCCCCAAACAAAATTCTCTGTTAGCTCCAAATACTCCATATTTTTTCTTAAGATCTCTTTCTAAGTCTTCCTAGGTTTTCCTTTACCCCTTTTGCCTTGACCTTCCGTCTCACAATTGCATTTTCATGTTAGGTAATTTAATTTGTTTGTCCCCTTGGATTACTAACAAACATAGCCAACTCAGTTTCATTTTATTGCGCTCAAAAAAATAAAACATCTGCGCTTCTCTCATACTTCATTTGCAGATTGACTTGGTGCTGTCAATAAGGAAGGGGTAACATATATATCTCAAAATAATGTATGTAGGAACTTGAAACAATTTTGATTAGAGGAAAATTAACATGAAGGGTTATCTGTAACTGGTGAATGGTAGTGAGAAATGAGACCACGAAATTGTACTACATTAAAGACCAAATGATTGACTAGCCACGACACAAATTGCCAGCGAGATCTAACCCTTTATAACATCTTGAAGCGAAGCCAAGCTTGGAATATGCTAGTTATAAACGATACCCCATGAATCCGAACCCTTGCAACGCCCCTTGTTCCACTAAAGGAAAACCAACTTTTCCAGACTAACAAAATTAGTCGTGCAAAATGACATTTCGTCGCCTTAGATTTTGTCCGACAAAATTTCATCGGAAAAAAGGTGTTTTTATTTGTAGTGAGGCCATAGAAAATTGTAACTTTATACTTGTTCTCTTTACTCTAATGCTTCGTTTCCTAAACACTTCAACAAAATGCCAAACTTAAATCTACTTTATATAAGTTTTCCTAAACAATTAGAATCTGCCCATATAAACGATCATTTATTCAATACAAAAATTCCTTCCAAATAAATCAAATTTTAATGAAGTCAGATTCTGAATAATTCATTAATCGAAAACTCAAAGTAGATAAAATCTTGTGTAATATGATTTTTTGCACAATGTTATAAAGAAAATTATATACAGCACCAAGACAAAAAACAAGATATAGAAAAAAAATAAGAAATCAAGAATGCATTAATCTGCAATCAATTGGAAAAATTTAAATCAATGTAGGATAGTGCTATTCACGCACCTATTTTTAGGTTCCATAGATCCTTGTTAATTTTTGGGCATTGATATATATTGTTGCGGAAACTAGATAACCAAAATTAGGCTCTTTAAGTCTTGAATTTTTGTGCTTGCTAGTATACGAATCAAATTATAGTATAGCATATAAGCACGGATATCGTCCCACAGAAATCAAATTAATTCTAAAAGTCTTACTAATGAAATTGAAACAAATTATAATTGGGAAGTTTTAACGGAAAAGATAGAAGATTTGAATTAAACTAAAGACAAAATATGACTTTAAAATAAAATGCATGAAATAATAAAATTAAAACATAAGAAAATAAGACCTAAGGCATCCGAATTCACCGTAACCAATCCTACTTAATTCACTTAATATGTTATGCTCAAGTAGTTTCCCAATATTGATGATTGATTTTCCCTCAATTATTCAACGGCCATGGTATCTGGTTGCATCAATAGCATCCTTCCATGTTAACCCTCTATGGCATCTAGATGGATTTAAACAAGTAACAACCATTAAGCTCTATGGAAATCGTTGGAAAGTCACACAAACACTAATTGCATGGCATCTAGAAATAGGTGTTTATGGTATCAATTGCAAGAAGCTAAACCCGAGTTAAGTATGACATCTACTCTAACTTGCATCAAATCAACCTAATTTAAACCTAGATGGTGATCAAGCATCTAAATAAAAATCAAGCTCATTACGATTAGCAAAAGATACTCAATAAAGATGAAAAATTTGATAATAACAATGCCACAAGACAATTAAGTATTCATAATTAGGCTACATCGTAGCCCTAACAAAGGAAAAAAACTATAAACTTCTCTTCCTCTTCCCTTCTTTACCGCAGCCCCCCTAAAGTCTGATATGTTTTTGGTGGCTTTCTTCGTGAATGAATGAATAAGGAGAAGTAATCTCCATATTATAACTCACGGCAAAGGGGCAACATAAAGCCTAATTAAAAACCTAGCTCTTATTGGACTTTAAGTCCTAATTAATGAAAAAAATTAAACTGAAATCATAAAAACAATTATGTCCATCCCAAAATCCATTGAATAGCTTCCTATGTCCATTTGATTTCCACAGCCATTGTAATCTCATCTTCTTATTGTAATGCATATTTGTGCTCCATTGGAATTACTCTAGACACCCGAAATCTTAATTTTTCACTTCTTTTTCGCATAATTCTAGTATTGAATGCCTATAAATTAAAACAATATAAATGAGTGCATTTAACCCATTCATATATACAAATGCATAGGAAATATATGATAAAAATATATGAAAATATGCATCCCATCATATATTCTTCAATTTATCCGATTCGACTGTAAAACATTAAGAGTGTGTATGAGAAGTCAAAATAGATACGTGGATAACACTACCCCCTTATGCAAATCAAGCACCCAATCACCTCAGTATCTTACAAAATATAATACCAATACTATGTAAGCTTGACTAGCTAGCTATGACATATAGTTTCGAGCTCTAACCTCTGATAACATCTTTAAGTGAAACATAGCTTGGAACGTGGACAAGTGCGTCACTATTCCATGATATCCCATCGATATGAATCCACGCAAAGCCCCCTGTATTAGGAAAATAAACTCGCAAATATCCGTCCCTACCTAATATCAATACTTTTCCATCCTCGGTAAATTTTACGGATTTGAAATAATATGAACGACAGGAACCCCAGTTCTTGCAAATTTCAAGCTCTTGGGTCCAAGATTCCTCAACGCCATACTCCTTCATCACCCAAACGGTTATATTATTAAGCAAATGAACTGTTAAAGAGATGCAACTTTTCATGACTCCAAGCTTATAATTAGGCATATTGTCCATATCAAACTGGAAAGGGGGTAGGGGAAATTGCTGGAAATGCTCAGTTTCAACATCAAAAGCAAAGATCCCGAGAGAATCCGTACGCCGGCCTAACCAATGAATAAATCCATTATGATAAGTACCATATGATAATGCGAAAATCTCAAAACCTTCGATGATTCTCCAAGTAGTACAACCAACGGTGAGAACCCTCGCCCCCGGTTCCTTGGACTCATTGTTTGGCTTATTAATCAGAACAACTTTGTAGACATCACTGATGGGACTAAACCCAAAGCCAGAATAACAATTTGTAAAACGGATTTTCAAAGGTTTTGGAATTGCTAAAGACTCAGCGGTAATGGGATTGGAAATGTAAAGACTCACCGATCCCATCAACCTGTCTTCGCATAGAAGCAAACCGTTGTATGAACTCACAATATGTATATCTCCTGTTCGGAAAATTGGGTCTCTACAAAGCTTCAGTGCCACATGGTTTCCGTTCCACTTGTGCTTCAGGCCGACCAAGAAGTGGGTGTGTTTAATCTGCCATCCCAGTTGGGCACTGTATTTGGGGGTTCCCTTGGACCAAAAGGCAAGTATGAGTTCGTGAAAATAGACCCCTCATGAATTCAATATCTGAGAGGAAACGATGCCAATCCTTGCATACACATTGGCACTGGATGAGCGTTTTAGTTGGGATTTTGCAGAAGATCTCCACTATAATGTGGTCTGGTAATTGCAGAATATAGGCTTTCTTATCATGCTTTTCTTCTTCTTCTTCTTCTTCTTCTTGTTTTGCCTGTTCATGAATGGACTTTGGGGGATGGCTTAAGCACACTTCGGATTTTTTCATTGATGTGCTGCAGTTCTGTAGGTTTTGCACTACCATACTTGCTAGATTACGTCCACTTCCTTCAGAATATATATGATTCAGAACTAGGGTTTGAGACTTGATGTGTCCCGTTGGGCTGGCCCATTTCAGCTATTTTCAGGCATATTTAAAAAATATAATATTAATTTGTACTTCAAAAATCTATATTGCTCTAAGGCCAAATATTTTCGTAGTCCTTGTGGTGGTAGTGCACTTTTAATGTCACTCTAGTGGTCAAAATATTGTTATGCAAACTAATATAGCCATCCTACTCTTCCATTAAAAGGGCAAACATGAATCACACGTAGAAAGGTTATATTTGTCCGTTCAAATTAAAAATTTGGTGACGCTTCTTTGCTGACTATAGGAGGTTATATTTGTATAAAATTAGGATTCGACGGAAAAGGCTCAAATTGAACGACGTCGGTGCTTTGAAATTGAACATCTTATCAGCCAGATCAGTAAGAGTTTCAAATATATTTAATGAACTGCACCCTATGTGATACGAATGATGTTGCAAATGCCTCTTTCGTTACAACATGTTTTTCAATTTCTTTTTCGTATATAGTGTCAAGATTCCTCGAGGATTATATATTTAAATGAAAATTGGCACATTGTTCATTTGTAATTTGCAAGGTTTTAATTTTTCACTGAAAAAGGTGTATGCCTATAATACCCATTCCAATGACTGAAAACATAAATCTGAAAATATGAAGTGAACTCTTAAGTCATCTTTCGATAGATGTTTAGGTTTCTTAATTTGGTTGAAACTTGAAATGACGAATATAACCTCCTCACGTGAGATTAACGTGCGCATTTTTAACAGAAGACTACCGGAAGTTAGGGTTTCAATAGCTAATGAGGATGACCACAAGGGTTTGCTTAACAACCTTTTCGCCACGAGAGGGACATCAAAGATGCACTGCCACCACAGGACCACGAATAAAATTCGGCCTCCTTAAGTAGATAGAACAATGGTCTAAATAGGTCAATAGAACAAATGTATGGTTTAGTTTCAATCCATCTACGTATGACTTATATCTCTTAGATGTGAGGTCTGCAAGAAGCTTTGTGCCGCAGCCTTTCGTACATACACAGAAATATATGCAAAGCTTTGTTCTTCATCCCTTTTATTTCTCTTTCAACTTATTTCCAAATCCAGGAAGTAAGAAACATCATCAAACACTAAATCCCAACACATCTTCTACCAGAAGGCAACTGGGTGTCCGTGAAAGCACGTCTATCGTAAACTTCGGATCAGAGAGCAAACCCCGCCAAGGCTTGCACACGCACTTCAAACCCTAAGCCTTAATTCTCTCTGTTATTCAGTATGGGAGAGCCTCTAGCTCACTCTCTGTGGTGCGACGGACTGAATTGTATTCTTCTCTTGATTTCAATGATACAATCGACTTTCTACCACTGCATGAGGTTCATTCCCTACAAAGTATCTCAAAATTCAAATAACTCTAATTCACACAACAGAAGTTTTACAGAAATCTGAATCTATAACAATGTCGTCCCGAGATACAGGATTGATACATGTTCCACAAACTTGTGCATTTAGAAACATCGTGGATGTCAATCCAACCAAGTCCTCCTGCAAATACAAACGGTTCCCATAATCCAACCTAATCTAACCTAGCCACAAAGAATGCAATTCTTTGTTTACTCTCTTTCTCGTGATCTGACACTAGCTGCTTGAAAACTTTTCTTTCGGAATGACTTTTTCTTCAACGTAATTTGCAAATGTGACACTTGGTTCCTGAAAGCACTGCAAGAAATAAGTTTAGCTAAGGCTTAATACCGAGTAACTAAACTTGGGATAAACAAATAACAGAAGAACACCATTAAAGCTAGAAATACTTTCTTATGGAGTATGTTGGACACTTACTGTGACTCTGGAGTGAATGTTGAGATCATAATTCATTTCACTGAGGCGGTTTCTTGCAATGCCTTCCGCTTCAGATGCTCTCCTGCAAGCTTCTTTAACCTGAAATAAATAAAAAACAAATCATGATTCCAACATCAACGAATTATTTTGTTTATTAGTCTTTCCGAAAGGCATAAATATTTTGCTATGCCGTATGAAAAGATATTCAAACCATATGGCAATTTTGAGCAGATGTAAATTATAAGTTGTTGAACATAAAGGGACTGCAACTTGGAAGCATATATTCTAATTAGTCATAAAAGAAGGCATAGCAAGAGCCAAAAAAATGAAATTTTATAACCTCATCTTTGTTTCAAGCTCGAGAAAAACTGACCTCATTTAAGTTCATGCTGGGATTAGTTGCACTAGCAGCTGTTAATTCTAATATCTTACGTAAATTGGATAGTTCCTTCATCAAATCTAAGGCTACTTCTTCAGCATCTTGCATCTGATTTCTAGAGAACTCAAATGCTCTCTCTGCATGGAGTCTAAATGAAGCACAATTCAAACACGAGCAGAGTCCTCTGCATCCTCGTGGATTTCTTTTAAGGATTCCTTTTCTGGGACCAACTTCATGAATACCTGAAGAAACTGTGGCAGCAATTTCGGATGAGTTCTGAGACAAGCTATTAGCTTGAAGTGGCTTCCCACCATTAGATAATGCTGTTCTTGAACTTATGCCTTCCTCTTCAGGTTTATAAGATAATGAATCACTGACTGATATTGCACCGTCTTTTATGGAAGTGGCTTCACAAGTACTGGGGCATAACACAGTGACTGTTTCTTGTTCGGAACTCATTATCTCAGGGCGTGTTTCCAGTTCACTGATTGATATTGCACCGTCTTTCACTGACTGATAATGTTCATCTTGTAAATCAATTGGCATTTGAGATTCATGGACGTGCTCTGGAGAAGTTAGATTCTGTCCACCATCGTTAGATGAGCCATTAGCTGTCACTAGTTGTGGTGTCGGTAGAGTATCGGGATCACAAACTTGATGCTTTGATTGAAATTTCAAGCCGTTTGATTTATCCATTGGTGTTTCTTGCTGATTAGGAGTCACTGGTGACAGTTGCTTTTGTTTCAAATCCTTATCAATATTGGCAGCTGTGAAAAATGATCATAAGAAAGGTTAAGCTTATTTCTACTAGAGGCTCCAAGTTAATATAACTATCTATTCCTTCAAATTATAATGAAGTGCACAAAGGAAACAAATTACCAGAGTTAGTCTTTTCCATGTCCATAAGAAATGGAAGCAATCTTCTGTAGCTGATTGATCCTGGACTCCTAAACAACTTGAGTCGTGAACATGGATTTAAAACCTATTTTGGAAACAAAAAATTATATTAGCAGAAGGACAAATAAACATCCAAAAAATCATTGATCAGCCAGCTTTTGCCTAGAACCAGAATGCCTACGATTAATAGATATCATACCGGAAAATGATGGCTTTCCAAATGAAATTCAGACTGATATTTAGATCGGCTGATAAATAATTACCAGATTTCTCTTCGGAGTAGATTCATGTCTCTTAATATCAACCGACGGAACATCTCTATGATTGAATGCAGTGGATGGCTTCTCCGAACCTTCATTTGTACTCTGAAGAACATATCCTTCTTCACTAACTCTTTTTACTTCCCCCTTTAGTTTCCCTAAGATCTCAGCATCTGGTGGTGTCATCTGGACATCAGTCTTCGTTTGAATCATCTATCTGATTCAAAATGTCTCCGGCATTACCAACTCTCTGCTCATTTAAGTGATTTGGATTTTGGTCCTTACAAAGATAGCCCATGTCATTTTTTCTCATCCCATCATTCTGAAGTCGGTTTATGTTCTGACCAACTTCACTATCCTTGCATGAATAGCACTCCTCCACAATCGAATGTGAGATGGGATTTATATCTTTCACATTTTGAGCTTCGCCCGGAAACTCATTACCAGCTTTATTGGCAGTCCCCGCATTCTCTACTGGTGCATCACCATCAGCATACACGTCAATTACATGATCCTTGTTAACTAGAGAGTCCTCCACAGCTGATGAGGAAGAGGGGCTCGGAGAATTTAACTTCTGAACTTTGCAAGAAAATCCCAAATCACAAATTTCAACCTGTTCATCAACAGGTGGCTTTGACCGACACTCCTCAACCACAGTCATAGATGGTGATTCCGAAACGACACTATCATTAGATGTTTCATTGGAAGAAACTTGTACAGTTTCCAGCTGAGCAGAAGAACCATTGGAAGGACACTCCCCGGAAAGTTTTTGTTCATTAAATTGATGCAAGAAACCTGCTTGATTTTCAGAAGCCCGCTTACCCTGGAACGGTTTTCCTTCCAAACCTTGATTGAGATTTGGCTGTTGACGAAACTCAAGCATACCTGTACACAGAGTACTATAACACTTAGTTCCTTGAAAATATAATTCTCCAGAGGGAAAAATAATCTTAGCATTTGACAAACTTAACAAAAGTAAAGAAAGGCAAGGGTAAAGCGGTTACAAGAATTGTCTTTCGCCATATCGTTTAAATAAGGAAGCAATCGTCTATAACTGAATGAGCCGGGAGCTTTGAACACTCTCTGTCGAGGCTTAAGGACCTGACATTACCACAAAGAATAACACAACACAAATCAAACAATGCGTTTCAATGCCTTGTATGACCCATAAATGCTTCAATCCTATCTCAAATTTTATAACCAACAGCTCTAAGCAATATCAAACACTTGATCTTCAAAAAAAATTCAACTAAACTGGTAATCAGACATACCGATTTGGTTTGATAATCGACATTGACACGAAAACTAGTTGCCTTCGCATCGGGTGATGATTTCTGGGCACATTGCTGAGCGAAGCCACCGATCCGTTTACTGGCCGGGGATTTAAGACTGGCATCATGCAACACAAACCCCATTTCTGAATTCTCAGTCCCTGTGCTCTCCGAATCAGCCACATTTGGACCAGAGCGAGAAATACCATATCCAGAACTCTCCAATCCATCATTCTTTGCCGCCTTGGGACCATTTTCTGGTTCATGAGAACCGAATCCAATCCCTAATTTTTGGTGGACGTTCACGTTCTCAGGCGCGTCAGAGGTTGGGGAAAATACCCGTTTGACGCGGAGATCTTTAATCAGAGTGTTCCGGAGCAAGCTGCCAGTTAAAGATCCTTCCATGATCTGATCTAATGATCTGGGTCTTTTCCGGAGTGGTTCGGAGCTCGGAAGTTTAGAATCGCGGTCACAATTTCTGGCCTGACCGGATCGGTGGGTGTGGAGCTGAATCTGAGATTTGGCGCGGGTGCTGATCCGCATTACAGGCGAAGGCCGCTTCCATTTCATGGAGGTTTGGTTTGCTTCCATGGCCGCTTCAGACTGTAGGAATCAGAGAGAGAGAAGAGAAGAGAAGAGAGTTTAGCGAAGGGGAGATGGAAAAAGAGAAATGGCGGCTAAAAGGTGCGAGAGGATAGTGGATGATGGCGGGAAAGTAAGGGGTTAGGTTATTTTTGGCGGGAATGCGGAGCTATGGGATTAAATACGTTTTGATTAAGTTTTAATTACAATTTTTTGGAAATTAAGGATTAGTTTGGTATTGTTGTGTTATTTAAGAAAATTGTTTTTGTTGTGCTGTGAGAATAAATAAGATTGTTAAGTGTTTAGTAAACTATTTTTGTAAAACTGTTTTTAATTAAAAAAAGAAAGTAGTGTTCGATTGTTTGATAAACTTTTATATAAATTGTTTTGAATATGTTAAATGACTAGTAATAATATAATATTTAATGTGATATAATAATTGTTAAAGACAAAATATAAGAACAAAGATTGTAATTTTGTAAAACATGTGAGGGTATACTTATCATTTGAAAAGTTCATTAATAAGCATTGATTATTATGTTTTGAAAAGAAAAAAAAAACACCTTTTTAGAAGCATAGTAGGCCATACTTCTGCTTTCTAAACTTTTCTACTTTAATTGGTAGCAGTTTTTTTGTTTTAAAAAAAAACGCATTTTTTTATTTTACCGAACACATTTAATATTCTAGATTTTTTAATAAACAAATTTTTTTTTAAAGCACAAACCAACCTTAAATCCCGTTTTGAAACGTTTGGTTTTCATTTTGTTTAGTGGAAAGTTAAACCAACTCCATTTGGGCCAAGGTCAAAATTGTATTGGCAAGAATGCTTATGTGTATTTCAATATAATCAACATTTCAACCGTTGCATTTTGATTGTACTAAATATATACATTCAGGTAAATTATAGATAATTGTTAGATAATAATTATATTAATACATATAAAATTTATAACCAAATTCTATTTTTTGAACACATGAGGTATTCCACTATACATTATGCACTATAGAAAACCGAAGTGAAGTTGAAGTTTATTATAGCCTTAATCACTTACAAATAAATGTTGGTATAGTGGAAAGTGAGCAAAGAGTTGGAATCCGCAATTCGAGTTCAAACTCCCACGATGTATTTCTTGTGACCATCAGCTTTGCTTTGGGTATTGTTTAATCTGGGGTCAAAATTACGATACCGCTTCATGCAGTACCAAGATTGCATAAGAAGAGAAATTAGTCTATCGTTAATGTGTGGTGGGATAGCTCCTATAGTAAAAAAATAAAAAATAATTCCCATATGCTTCTTCTAACTTAATGATTATATAAATTAGTTGTGGGATTCTTCCTATTTTTAGGTTTTGAGATACTCAATTTTATAAAAGATAATGCTAGGTATGCCAAATTTTCAAATCAAATTTAGAAACTAAATAATATGTTACTGATATGACTACCAACATCCATTTACCCAACATACCCTAACGTAGTTAGTGCCAAGGTTTTAAAAAACGCTAGATGTTAGTCGGGCGGCGGGTATGCCTATTTACACTTAAAAAAACTATATTTGTATGAATAATAGAAGAATGATAAAATGTAAAATAGAAGTAGAAGAATACATAAAGTACATCCATTTAACAAGTTCAATATTTAAAAAAATAGTAAGTATATACAGGTAATGTAACACGTTATTTTTTCAAGAAGGAAGTGATAATATAGGTAGTGTAAAGAATTTTAAGTAGATAATTTGAAAAAAAAAAGTAGATAATAATATATAATATATTTGTTTAATAGTGGAGTTGGTAACGTTTTTAAATATATTTCATAAGCCTAGTGCTTTCCTTTTGACGGCTTGGAAATTGATCTGACAGAGGGCAGTGACTTTTGACACATAGGAAATCGGTAAGACCCTTAATTTGGGGTTTCCCGTTTCCTCTCCCATCCATTCTTCTTCAATTGCTCTGCCTAATTCCCCATCTTCTCCACCTAATTAAGTTTCTCGTTTCCTCTCCCTCCATTCTTCTTTGATTACTCCGCCTGATTCCCCATCTCTCCGCCTAATTTCCATCCTTTTGCTCTGTATAATTTTCCAAAACCCAATAATGAGTCCAGTCAATTTCCTCAAGCACATCGAAGAAATCCTATCCGGTGAAGAAATCTAGGCTTCCAGGTCAAAGTTCTCGGTTTTTTTCCTGCAATTGCATTGTTATTCAGATTCTTTCTACATATCTCTCTCACGTTTACTCTTCCCTCACGCTTTCTTGGTTTCTCTTTCGTCACCTTCGTGGTTTAGTGAAACAGAATATTTTAACAAAACCGCTGCGAAGGCCGCTTAGCCCGGTGCCTAGGCTACCTAGCCCACCTAGCCGCCGCCTAGGCACCGCCTAATAACCTTGCTGATTTCCTGAACATTTTTGAAATAATCGTGATGGCAGCCTGACGCCTAGTGCCTAGGCGGCCGTCCAGACCGCATTTTAGAACACTGGTTTGTGCCCATCATCATTAAGAGGGCTGACATGGGAAACCTATTCAATAACTAGATCATCATGTTTTTCAATATTTGTAAGCACAACATCCACCATTTGTGATGGCCACAACAACAATGTAGTATAATTGTTCGTTGATCACATCCTCGAGAACTTGATTGACTATATTTTGGGTTTGATCAGACCAATGTGGAGCAACTACCGTAGAAGCTACAACATAGTTATTTATAAAAGGAGGATGATGATTCTTCGCACCTAGATGACTTTCTTGTTGGCAGTTAGCAGTACCAATCCATTGTTAAATTGTACACATGAAAGAAAAGGAAGATTACTTGCAAGATCCATATTCACAAGAATTCTAACATAATAGTTGTGAGGATGCGAAGGTAAAATAGTTTCACATTGGTGACATGAAAAACTTTGGAAGAACTTATAAGAGGTTGGGCTATTCTTCATGTTGTCAATTGGTTTTATGGTGGAACATCAACTCTCTTCATGTTATTATAGCAGGTTGGCCCACATGTGACGCTCAACAACGGCACATGCTCCACGTCATCCAATTTATGTGGGCATGTGAGTATGTGAAGGTAAAAGAGTCACACATTAGTGAAACAGAAAACCTTGCAATTTCATATTGGTGAGAAAAAAAAACATTGTAGTCCCACATTGATGCAAGAAAAAACCTTGCAAGCGCTTATAAGTTAAAATTCAAACTTTGATTATCAAAAATGTAATTCAAAATTTGTTGATGCACAAAATCAGTGAGACTTTGGAACAACGTAAAGTGTCAAGTTTGTTACCCTCGCTCGGTTGTTTCGCTCAACTAGTGATGATAATATGTAAAGAGATAGAGATAGGGAAGTAAACACAAGTTGTACATGGTTCACCCTAAGTTTGGCTACGTCCACGGAGTAGATGAGTTCTCCTTAATAGTGAAGGGTTTACACAAATACATAAGTTTAAGCATAATCATCATTAGTGGATTCTAATGACTAGTTTAAGTACAATAATGACATTAAGGATTAATTGTAG